GGTATCACTGGATAATTCGGCCATTGAAATAGCCGTCCTTCCCTCCGTGCTGCTACGTGTTGCTAAAGCCGAAGGTCCCTCTACATTCTTGGCAGCTTCTGCAACTTGGGCTTGATATTTCGCCTCAATCGCCTTCAGTCTTCGTTGATTGCGTCGACGCCAAAACCACAACCCAACGGCGCACATGATCAAGGCAAAGAAAAACCCTCCTCCTACTGCAAGGCCAATGACTGCGGTTGGGGACAGGGGCTTGCTTGGAGAGGTCTTGGACCGAGCAACCGAGTAGGCAGGTGAGACAATTGGGAGTATCTGTGGTGCCTTTCCAAAAGTCCAGTCGACAGCGGATACCGTGAAATTCTGGCGCTCCCAGTCCACCGTCAAGTACGCCTCTTGCAAAAAAGTTCTCCCCAGTACCCAGTTGTCCGACACATTGGCTCGTCGAATAGGAAAATATCTTGTCTTTTCTTGCAGTCCCCTATAGGGTGCGGATGCCTCTAGGTCGAAGGCGGCATAAGGCAGGGTAATTTGCACAGTCGCACGGCTGCTAAACTGTTGTCCAAGGGTGAAGGTCACGCTAGGGTTTTGTGACAAGAGGGTTTGGTGAAGAGCATCATCCACGAGGTAGAGATCGGTGGTCTCGTTATAGCGCAGTCCAAACGTATCTTCAAAGGCTTTGCAAATCTCAACAGGGAGGTAGAGCTCTGCGACAGTCGAGTCAATGAACAGGGTGACGTTGTCGCCCCTTAAGAGATCAATGTCTTTCTGGCTTGCAGTATTGGCAGTCAAACCAAGCAGACCGACAACCAGCTCACGCTCGTTGTCTGGGGCAAAGATAAAGGTGAGGTCATTGGGGATAAGGCGAGAAGCATCGTACCCGCCAAGCGTAAGGCTCCCAAGAATGGTTTGATCGCCTGCAGGTACGTGTCAGTGATGGTCGACTTGCGAGCGGGGGGTAGGCCTACGGTACTGGGCGCCAGCTGTGTAGCCAAATGACAAACTGGGGATACTTTTTTGGTGGAAGAGATCCATGATGTAACTTGGAACAGGATCTTCAAAGGCAGAAAAGTTTGTGGGTTTCGTATGCACACCAATGTGGCCGAGCCAGAAGTTTGATGTGACCAATGTGCCGATTGTTGTATTGGCGACGGGCGGGCCTGCATCGCCCCTCATTCCCAGTTCGACCGAGTCAAAGCCATACTGGCCATTGCCTGTGAGGCCTAGGTTTCTTTCAATCCATAGTTGGTAGTACCCCTTCTCTTGCCAGGTCTTGGAAAGAGTGGTGTTGTACAAGGCGCCACGACTTTCCTGGCAGTCTTGATTCAGGACGTTGAATGCGGTAATGTTGCCCGTGGTAGGATCGGTGACGTTGACGATGCAAGCGAGGGAATTGACAGCCCAGATCTGCTGGCTGGCGGTGGAAACCAGGACTCGCACGGGTTGGCCAGGGTCGCCTATGCGCAGGAAGAACGTGTTCCATGCGCCGTCAATTCCCATCCAGTCCTGGGCGGGCGCAACAGAGAGGGGCGCTGGGACCGACGCGACACCAGGGAGTAGTTTGTAGTTGGGGGTTTCGGTGATGTTTTGCTGTTCATAGCCGGCGGCGAGACCGGGCAGCAGTAGCGTGGCGGCGAGGAGAAGGCATATTGTCGAGATGAAGCCGCGACGGCTCAGCGAAGCAACCATGATCCGTGTCTAAGAAGCGTACTACGAGGCGGCTTGTCCGAGGGGGCAACAAAGGCCACTCAACCACGATGATTTGCAGGGCACAGCATCACTGAGCGACATTGCTTGTGCCCAGTGGCGTCACGAAGGAATGGAGAGGAGGAAGAAGAGGCAACGGAGAGACAGCCGGGCAAAAGAGAGAGTTACGGAGTAGTGTTGATGCAGATTGGCAGGACCCTGGGGAATCTGAGCCGAGATACCCAGGCTTCGAAGCACGCTCTAGTCCGCTTTGCCCCTTTGCCGCCGCCATCGCCGCCATGCATGGCTGGGCAACAGCGGCCTTCCACCCCATTCCTCGCAGCTTGCAATGCGACGACGACGGCGACGACGGCATTGGCTGGGACAGACAGGCTACAGCCGACATTTGTGTGCAGCGCCGTAGATGAAAGGTAGATGAGTGCCGTGGGCGGAACAAGGGCCAGCCGGGAGGCATTCGACGCCCCGTCCCCCCTCATCCTACTTACTGCACGCAATCTGGGGGTGGTGGCGTCGGGCCTACTATACTCTACACCTCACTTGAGTGCACCTCCATGTGTACCACTATACCCAAGCATACGCCTACATACGCCTCCACCAAGATGTAAGTAAGTACTCTACAAACGCCGCCTTGACACTGCAGAGGGATGCGTAATGCAGAGCACGAGACTGCTGCTAGACAGCCACCCGCCGACGTTGCAGGCCGCTGGCGGCGCATTCTGGATCCCTTGATCGCCGCACGCACCCACTCGATCCTTTTTCCGAGCTGCAGTCCGATACGCTTGCGCCCAAACCGCCATGGGATCGGCATACTCCCCCCAAGATGGCAGGCATTCAAGCACCATGTCCTGTCTTGCGACTGTCTATAGTGTACTTTCAGCTCTGCACCTGCCCTGCTCTCTCCACCCCTGCCACCTCATCCCCGCCACCGCCTCAAGACACATGTCGACGACCATCACCATCACCATCACCATCACCATCACCATCAATCCAATCCATCCAACATCGTGCCACATGCGACACCCATCAAACCATCTCTGTGCCATAGTGCAAGCCCCAGATTGAGCCACACCTCTCTGACTCGTATACAACACATCCAAGGAACCGTTCACGCTGATCCACCAAATGGCTGGACGCCTGATCCTGCACGCCAGCCGTACTCAAACGTCAACCCGGCCGGACACGCCATGCCATGCCAGCAAGCCTATGTCGTTGATTGGTCACCGGTTGCCTGTTGTGCACGGCCAGGCTCGTCCAACTGGCTCATTGTGAATCTGGACGGCAAAAGAACTGAAAAGCCAATATCGGACTTCGCTCTGTCTAGCTCCCTTCTGCACGTCGTTCCTCGGAACCGTCGCTTGAATGCGCCAGCCGATAGGCCCAAAATGCCCTGCACCCGCTCACCCAGATTGTTCCTGCACCCTCGAATGTCTACCATTTTTCCGGGACGACTTAAACGTCACGACGTTCGCTGCCCATAGAGTGCCTGCGTGGCCACCACTTTGTCACCGACATGTCTTCATATCTCTCGCTTGTAACGTTCTACTTGGCTCCATTTGCTGCAGGAGCTGTATTCAATCGTCGTGGTAATAACAATATCTTTGTGCCTTGGGGCTCAACATCGCTGCATGCTGACGAAGCCATCAAGCCCCATACCTCAACACAACCTCTATACCTGCCCTATCGCTGCCTACTCAAACACCGCCCGTAAGCGCCTCTCTGATCACTCCAAAGGAAACTGGGCCGCACAGCGCCGACGGCCTCGCTACAGGAATATCTACAAATCATGGCATCTTGCGACCCACCGACATGGTCACTCCTGATCCACAGATTCTATCTGTCCCTTCAAATATCGCATTATCGTCTTCTGGTCACATACTAGCTGCGACTTCACAACTACCCTCCGTATTTCACAATGGCACCGCAAGTCCCTCTACTGGCGATTCAAGCGCAGCATGTACAATCAATATATACGGTGCAAGCCTCGACTACTGGTTCATGCCGACCTACAGTTATCCAATTGGAACAATGGAAACTTCAGTACTGAATTTTTCAAATTCTCAGTCATTGACACTTGTACCTCCGACCGCCACCTTTGACGTAACCAGTGCACTGTCGTCGGATTTCGCATGTACTTCCACAGAGTCATATATTTCCGACTTCGACTTTACCTTGACAATGTGCGAGGAATATACAGTAAGACCCAGTGCTGCTGCAACATCCGTCATCTACCGGTCAGAAGGATATGCGCCGTTTCCACCAGGAGGTGTCATCCCTCTCGAAGATGCTCCATCATACGATGTGTACAATCCAGATTTGTTTGCATCGGCCACGGCCGTTGTAACGCTTGCACCAAATGTTACACAGTCTGAGACATCTGCAACGCCTTTTGTCTACTTCACTGCCTATGAGGTTGAGACTGGCAATGAAACAAAAACAGTACAGCTTCCGCTTGCGCAAGCCTATCCTTACAAGCTCGAAAACCTTGAGGAAAAGGATACTGCCAATGGTCCTCTACCGGAAGGTTTCCTGGACCAAACACCATATTCAGGATGCCACGCTGGACAGCTCCAGGCTACCGTAACTGTTCTCATTGTTGTCAATCTGTACTACCTAAATAGGCCGAATCAGGGTCCTCTCTTCAGTCACTTGGAGTCATCAGTCATTGGATTCGACGAGCCACCTGTTCTCATGAATGGCCATGACACAACTCCAGGGGTTGTTCCACTCACAGTCGCTGACTGGGATATTCCGGGCACTAGTACTAAACCCACGGATGACAGTTTAATGGCCAATAATGTTCCTAATCTAGCTTCTGCGGCACAAGTTCGTGGGCACGCATCAGTTACTGTGGGCTCGATTGGAACAAATCCCATCATAATCGGCCCTTCCTCCGAAGTTGTAGTCGGTTCACAAACACTGCAGCCAGGAGGCCCTGCCATTAACGTTGGAGATGGGACGCCTGTTTCTCTAGCACCCTCGCCTACCGCTATCTTTGTGGGCGATAAGACAAGTCCACTACCTCAAATCTTTCCGTCGCCTGCACCACCAGTGTTGACAATTGGACCATCTACACTAACACCAAACGCCGCTACCCAATTCTTCATTGCCCCAGGTCAAACTTTGACCCCAGGCGGTGTCGCAACTGTCGATGGTACAATTGTTAGTCTTGCACCCTCGGCTTCCTTTGTTGTCGTTGGTGGCTCTACCCAAATTTTGCCTACAGGCTCTGCGCCGTTACCAATCACAACCAGAGTGCCTCAGTTTGTCGTTGGTGACTCAACAATAGTAGCACAACCTACTCAAGTCAGGCCTGACACAGCCCCTACATTTGTTGTATCTGAACAGACGTTACTTCCTGGCGGAGCAGCTGTGACTCTCTCTGGAACTACACTTTCTTTGGACCCTTCTGGAAGTGTGTTGGTTGTCAATGGGGGGTCCTCGACCATAAAAGCCCAGACTGGGGCAGCCTCGTCACCACCCGCCATCACCATTGGTAACGAGGTATTCAGTGCCCTCCAGAAGCCTTCAGAGCCAGTATTTGTAGTTGCTGACAAGACTCTGATTCCTGGAGGTCCAGCAATAACAGTCTCTGGCACTACGTTGTCACTAGCATCATCTGCCTCTTTCGTTGTGATAAACGACGTGACATCGACACTGATTGACGCCGTTCCCTCGCATGTCAGTGCGCCACCCCTGACAATAGGCGATGTGACGTTCAGACCATTGCCTGGGACTGCGACTGCGTATCTAATTGGGTCAATTTTGCTCAGTGCTGGCGGTTCAATAGTCACATCTGGAACAACCATTTCACTGGCCTCTGGAGCTACAGCGCTGGTTGTCAATGGACAGACAAGCTCCATCTTACCTCCGGCCCAACCTGTAATCACAAACCCGCCTCTGCTCACTATCGGTGCAGAAACATATACGGCAGTGTCTGGTGGCGGCACAGTATTTATAATAGGAGGGGAAACTTTGACCCCTGGTGGAACCATTACTGTTGATAGGACCACGATAAGCTTGGCCATTGGTGCGACAGAACTAATATATGGCAGTTCAGGTCGCAGTACCACAACGGCATTGTTTCCGGCTACCACGACTCAAAGCCAGCACATCACCACCACTTCTGGATTAAGCGCAAGCGCAAGGACCTTTGATGGACAGGCAACAGCGACAAGTCGAAAAGGTGCAGCGTCGAGATTGAGCAGCCGATTGTCAATCTCGATTACCTTTATTACTCTCATGTATTCTGTATTGGTCTGAGCCAAGCACACGGTGTGCAACCAAGGTGCTTGAACTGCGTCTTCTGACGGCAGAACTGCCGCCGAGGCTCGTGATGACTTATTTAGGGAAACAATAATGTATGTATACAAAAATATGGAATATCAGCATGCAGGTTTGTTCCGTACAAGCGCACCTAGGATCACCTCATTGGTCCAGCCCAGTCGCCCGGTCGCGGCGAGAGAGGTTCAGTGAGGGGGATTGAGCAGGTTTCTAGGAATCCCGCGAGTATTTAAAAGCTGAAGGACCCCAAGTTGGAACGGAAGTTGGGTGTTCAGCGGCGAAAGGCGAGCAGCTACGGCGGCGGCGTTGCCGTTGGCGTACACTTTACTGACCTGGGCGTCAATGCGTCGCTGTTCCTTCCACCAACGGCCGCAAAGCCCAAGAGCAATATACACCAATCGAATACTTCAAGGCGTAAGCGCCTCGTTATCTCAGGCGTCAAGCGTCGAGAGCTCCGTTTCCCAGGTCAGGCGATAGACAGCATAATTGCGGCTCCCTTTCACAACCACATAGCCGGTGGCTGTAAAGTCTGTCAACCCGAAACAACCACAACGTCACAGATCGGACATGACTGACCGAATTTGGACTACTTGCTGACGAGCCTGGCCTCGGGTGGCTTGAAACATCGCCTTAGTCTTGGCAGGCACCAACCTGTAATCAGCCCCGCTTGTATGCCGTTTCATGTCAGAGCGCTGGGAGTGGACACTGGATGAGTCGCCCCCCACTGTATGCCGTAGGCACATTCGCAGGGCGGATTCTAGAAGAAAAGGCGTAGGGTCTCGAAATGAGCGCTATTTCGCGTAAACCCGCGAGTGGAACCAAGCAGGAGAAGCAAGCACAATGCCTGTCTGACTCGAGGGCACACCGCTGGCACAAGGAGAGCCTGAATGTCTGCTTGTCAAGGGCAATAGTTCACATAGTTAGGCAAACATACCGACTCCAAAAACATCTGTCAGCTGTGCGGAGAAGCATGAACTGAAACTGTTTTTTCGGCGGTTCCATTGTTTCGCCAAACGCCGAGGCATGATGCCTTAGCATTGAACGGTTGGAGTGGGTTCAAGCGTTATCCAACGCTTCCCGCCATACTACAGTCAGCTTTTCATGCAGGCGGCTCCCAGGCGTACGATTCAAAGCGAAATGACCCATCACACATTATTATGGGGCCTGGGATCAAACAATACTTTTTTCCACGTTCTGCAGCAACTAAGCGAGGCTGCCCTTCCGCTTGTAGCTCTAGTGCGACGCGGGATAGATTGACAGATGCTTGGCGCCTATCCACAGACCCGGGTTCAGTAGTTTCATGGCGTTTACTCCGTCAGTTAGTAGCCCTAATCCCGCGAAGCTTGTGAATGCGCCGTGTTGGTGCCCCGAGTATAAGAAGTGCCCATGGCATCTCCCAGTTGAAGGGCATCAAGCTTGAAGCTGACACTCACTTTCATACACTCTTTCGCATCCATCATCTTTCGATTCGTTCGTCTGCCTTTCGTTCTTTGACATTCTATCTTTTGAACATCTTCTCGACTTTTTTCAAACCAACCAACTTCCACATACCAACCATCACCATGTTCGCCAAGTCCGCTGTCATCCTGGCTATTGCCAACCTCGCTGCCTCGCACGCTACTTTCCAGAGCTTCGTCATTGGCGGCAAGGACATGGGTTCGGGCTTTGCTGTTCAGGAGCCTTCCAACGGCAACAACCCCATTCTCGATGTCACCTCCACTGCCATGATTTGCAACGGCGGTAAGCCCACCGCTGACCAGGTCGAGGTTGCTGCTGGCTCCACCATCGGCATGCAGTGGCACCACAACAAGGGACCCAACCCCAACGACAAGGATGAGCCCATTGCTCCCTCCCACAAGGGTCCCGTCATGGTCTACATGGCTGAGGCTTCCACCAACGGTATCGGCAACGTCTGGACCAAGATCTGGGAGGATGGTTTCAAGGATGGCAAGTTCGGTGTTGACAGGTTCTACGACAACAAGGGTTTGATCTCGATCAAGCTTCCCAACGTGAAGCCTGGCAAGTACTGGATCCGCCCCGAGCTCATTGGTCTCCACGAGGCTTCCGCCCTCGGCAAGGCCCAGTTCTACAACGGATGCGGTCAGATCACCGTCACCGGCAGCGGAACTGCTTCCCTCCCTGCCACTGGTGTCGACATGACCAAGGCTTACAAGGCCACCGACCCCGGTGTCAAATTCGACATCTACAACTCCTTCACCTCGTACATTGTCCCTGGTCCCCAGGTTTGGGACGGTGCCTCTTCCGGCAGCGCTCCTTCCACCACTCCCACCACTCCTTCCAACGGCTCCGCTCCCTCCACCCCCTCGCCATCTCCCGTCGAGGCCGCTCAGCCCGCCACCTCCTCCAAGCCTGCTGAGAACACCACCCCTTCCACTGGCAACAACGGCTCTACCCTCCCCAAGACCTTCACCATCAACCAGTTCATCCAGTGGCTCCAGACCACCGCTGGCTCCGCCTCCTCCAAGGCTCGCCGCCACGCCCGTGCTTTCAACTAAGCGGTTGACTTTTCTTGCACATGTTTCTTTGGTCTTTTTTTAATGGCCTAGGCATTGCAACAAAAAAATGGTGTTTGGAACGTCCATGTGTTTGTTCTCGAGAATGACGCTTTTTGCTTCTCTAGATATGAACGTCTCCCTCCTAACTTTCTTGTTCAACAATTTTTTCGGTTAGCTGCTAGATCGGCTGTCCTATTCTTTGCAATATGTATATATATATACTATCCTCATGACGAATGGATACATCAGTTGTCTTGACTCATTTGATCCTCTTGTGAATATTGTGCTACGTGTTGTGAAATGAATAACTTGGAACGAGGCGTTCGTGGCTTCGTTTTCGAGAATACGCCCGCTCGTATCCTCGTAACTCCCCCACTTGACATTACGAAACGCCACCCGCATCTCGTATCGTCCATTGATCTCCCCTATCTCTTTTTCCGTCCCAGAAATCTCACATCTCACGTCATCTCAGCATAACCCCCGCTTCGTTGCTACGACTGGTATAAACGCCATGGCATAATCACCCCCCCTCCTTCTTCTTCCATTCTATTTCGTGTCGTTGAAAGAGTTAAGGTTTGTAATTACTGCTACATACATCAATCACTTCAATAACGCATACCGTGGTACAAAAGGCGCCCATCCCCTTTGTTCCCTCTCAGACCCGTTAACATGCAGAACTCCAGCACTCTTTTACTTCCCCCACATGCTCTTATTCTCTTACATTCACAGAATGAATGTACGGAAATGCAGCTATTACGCAATTTTTAATCGGAATATAGAACTTGCTTGTATGTGTACATGAAGAGAGGTGGAGGTTGATGTACACCACATCCCCCGGTCCCTACCCTCGTCCTTTTCTTTTTCTCGTATTCATTGCTTGGCTGTTCTTGCAGAATGCTTGTTTCATGCTTGGCTTTTTTTTGGTAGGATGGGGGGCTGTCTGTACGGATTTCTATGGGGTAGATGCTAGGTAGGTATGTACTGGCTTGTTGATGCTGACTTTGTTTGGTTGGGATGGGGTGGGTGTTTGTCGCGTGGGTAGATGTTTATTTGCTTGGATGGGTTTGGATTTGGTGCTCCTTGAGGGTGGGGGATAGGGATTGGGGGGGTTCTTGCAAAAAAGAATAGAAGGGGGTAGTGAGACTTGTTGGTATTGGGGGTTAGGGAGAACGGAGTTGATGGTTTAATAGGGCTTGTTAATCATGCCTGTCCTGAATCTTAATACTCGATTGTTACTTCTTGCTGAATATGTCGTGCTTGTCTTGACAGACTGGTCTTATATGTACAAGTACCCTCTAACCAAAGTCATTTACTCTGGCTCTTCCTTTCCTGATCCCATCTTATCAAAATTTGTCGGTTTTTTTGTTCAAGGTTGATGGAAACTTTCTGTCACGTAACTTGAAAAGTAGCGTCTTACTGAATAGCTTCTCTATTTTCTACCTGAGGACAAAATACTGTATTTACTGGCACGCTCCGACTACCTAGTTGGTATCTGTTAGGTATGTTCTAGTACGCAGTAGACAACGGATAAAGGGACATGGAGAGCTTGAGATATGGTCACGTGACTGAACACTGCACCTGTACATCTTTTATTGCTATCACGTGCCTTGATCGAAACTAATCAGTCGTGCAACCAAATTTGTAGGAAATTTGAATCAAAAGATTTAATCCCATCTATAGCTGTTCAACAATTAATAAAACAAAACTTGTTCTCTCCCATTGCTTGATCTGATTGCTGCCGACTATTTTCACGGAGGAAAAGTAGAATGTGCGCTACGATTCTCTCAACGCTATCCCTTTTGCCATTACAACCAAGGTTGGCCATTAGAATACATAGTAACTCTCAGTCGTACATGCGCGTTCCAGATCTTGACTCTGGAACTGACGATAGATACTCTCCCGTCATGATGACGCGCACAAGATTTTGTCTTTGATTGAGGACATGACCTAACCATATACTTTCCAAGATACTTTAGAGAGCCAAGGAAGATACGTCATACCGTTTGTACTTGGATTTGGGATGTGGTTTTCTGGGTCCATACTCCCAGGCGGCATAGACACGAATGCGTGGTACGCCTAGTATCCCAAAGACTGTGTCTTATTCTGGGACTTTATTGCGCAGCGAGGTGACATAAGCCAAGTCAATATACTCATTATACGGTTCTCTAATTGGTCCGTCATCATCACCAAGGTTACCACTGGCAAGTAGGTCCGCAAGGATTTGACGGTCCCTTCTAGATTTTAGTTGTTGGAGGACGTGGATGCAGAATGTATTATTGAAGATTAAACACTGGATAATTAAGAAGTGCCGCTGAATGATTGTACGACGGTGTGGTTTACGCATGTTGGTGCGGCGACGAATACGGGAGTGACAGGTTATTTGAATGATGTTACGATTGATGATATGAAACCGATTTGATAGGGTTCATATGAATGCTAAGATTCAGAGCTGGATGGGGTTGAGATTGATCATATTAGGTAGGAAGGGTGGGAGGCTGTTTAGATAGATGGACCAGATTGAATGCAGTTGCCATTCTCATTTTTACAGTAGTTTCTAACGTCCGCCTTTTCTTGTCTTTGGAGACATCTTGTAAATGATTGTATCGTGTTGGGTTCGGTCAGGAAACATATTGCGGTAAGTGAACCACGGCACATAGTGACGGCGAGATATGTTTTCGAGTTTCGTGATAGGGCGGACATATTCCTGGCGGAGCCAGACGGTGTGATTGGACTTTACTTTCTCGATCCAAAGCATTACCGACTATCTACGGACCGGGAGATGGATCAAGGAGCTGAAGATACTGTGTGCGTCCTCCATGTGCGTTGAGACTGACAAACCAATATCGACAACCTACGCGCGTTCACTGCTAACCAGAGATAGCGTAGGGGGTAGTCGGTTTTGTTGGCGCATAGTTGGTAACTAGGTGACTGGAGCAATTGCGGTGAAGGTGGAGTCTAGTAAGTATAGCGTGGATACTGAAATGCCTCATAGGTGCAGCTGAAGGAGGCGATTTCCCAATGTAGAGTTTGGGTCTTGTGATGCCGTTCTAGCAAGAAAACGGTCATCGTTGCTCCATCTGCCGCGGAGAATGCTTGACAAACATGTGGCTGTGCGAATACAATAAAAGGCTGCATGTGCCACATGGCCTGCGCCATGACAACCTGCGTGTGTGAACAAGGGGTCACGAGCTGAAAAGTTCAAACTCTAAATGACACCTCCATCTCGAAAGACTATTACAGATGCAGTAGCACGAACGCTTGCATGTGAGTGGTGGAGAGATCGAATGCATCTGAGATTTAAATTGTGAAAGATGTCAGACGGCGTCGTGGCGGACGATCTAGATTGGCGATTTTCGGCAAGGGGGGGTGGGGGGTGGTGGGACATTGCAGTCCTTCCCGCCCGCAGTGGGCGCTGCGTGTCAATCTGACTGAATCCAGACGCCTATTGGGAGATAGAGGTGGTCAAGGAGCATAGTGGCGGTCTCGCAGTTAACAGCACACGGGAGAGATTTGTGTTTTTTCATGCCGTCGTGCTAGCCTGGCCGTTCGCCCAGCCTCGCTTTGTGCTGCGAAATGCGGGCAGATTGACGTAACATTTGCACCACTTTCAGTGCGATCGCCAGCATCGCTTTCGCTTGGCAATGTTCCGTCGACTGGATCTGATGGGGCACGTCACGAATTACCGTTCTGCATTTGCGCCGCTTCGGTAATTCCCTTGTGCCCTTGTCGCGCATCACAGCGGTGAATCGGTACGAAGAAGAAAAGACAAATCTGCAAGCAGTTCCGCACAGCCCACTCGCATGCCCGCTCCCTGTCGTCGCGTTGCCCCAGACGCATCCATGGCGACAGGGCGACAGGGTAAGGGATGGAAGCAGTCGTCAGTTGAGGCTGAGAAGGGCGCGTAGAAGAGCTCTCTCAGGGTCCAGATGGTCGGCAGAGGGGCAGCAACGAGCAGAAGCTGAGCGGTTGGCGCTCAGGCTTGTGTCGCGCTAAAGGACCGAAAGCTGTAGTGGCCGCAAGGGCCACGACGTCACACTAGGCGCGTCTGCCAATCCTGTTTATTTGTCTCCCGTGCAGGGGAACCCTCTCTCCGACATAGATACGGCGCAATACTACATAGTACATTCGTTTCTCCACCGTACATCTTACTCTTGTGCATCTCCCTTCATCCTCGAGGGCGCGTGCCATTGTCGCATCGCAATCGCCCACAATGTCCTCCACCGTACGTTTTACCACCACGACGCCAGTCACTATGCAGCGCGCTAATTGTACCAAAAATAGGGTGGTGAAATTGGCAAGGCCAAAGAGGAGTCCAACAGCTCCGTGTCCAGCTTTGTGTCGACACTGATCCCCGCCTCCATTATCGCCTTTGCCTTTACCGCTGCTTTCTTCGTTGCCCGCAAATATTTCCGTAGGGTCTATGCGCCCAGGACGTACCTCAACCATCTGGGCAAGCAGCGCCAGACGCCAGCCCCCAGCCCCGGCTTATTTGGCTGGCTCAAAGATTTCAAGAACCTCAAGGATGAATACATCCTCGACCACCAGTCCATTGACGGCTATCTCTTCGTTCGCTTCTTCAAGATCCTCATCGCCACCAGTTTTCTCGGATGTCTAATCACATGGCCCGTCTTGTTCCCCGTCAATGCCACTGGTGGTGCGGGCCAGAAGCAACTGGATCTTCTCTCCATGAGTAACATTGATCCCAAGGGCACCAATGTCAACCGTTACTATGCTCAGGCCGGCATTTCCTTTATTTTCCTTGGTTTGATCCTCGTCATCATTGGTCGCGAGTCTTTCTTTGTCGTCAACCTACGTCAAGCATACCGTCGCTCACCATGGGGAGCCAGTCGCTTGTCTTCGCGCACTATCCTCTTCACCAATGTACCCAAGACGCTTTCCCAGTCCGCCTTGTTCGAAATGTTCCCCGGTGTCAAGCACGCCTGGGTTGCCTCGAACACCAAGGAGCTGGACGAGCTGGTCGAAGACCGTGACGACACTGCCACCAAGCTGGAAAACGCCGAGGTGGAGCTACTGACCAATGCCAACCAGAACAGACTCAAGGCCGAGAAGGGCAAGAAGCACTTTGTCGCCGAGAATGTGAGCGATGGCACCAAATGGGTTGACCCCAAGAAGCGACCAACCCACAAGCTCAAGTTTTTGATTGGCAAGAAGGTCGACACTATCGAATACGGCCGTTCTCATCTCGCCGAGCTCATTCCCAAGATCACCGCCGAACAGGACAAGCACTGGAACGGCGAGGGCGACCTCGTTGGAGCTGTTTTCATCGAATTCGAAACTCAGAGACTCGCACAGGATGCCTGGCAGATGATGCAATCGAGGAAGACCAGGCCCGATAAGAGTCTTCAGGCACGGCAACTCGGCGTCATGCCCCAGGAGGTCGTGTGGGGCAACTTGCGCATCAAACCTGCCGAGCACTATGTTCGATGGGCGCTTGCTACTGCTTTCATTTCTGTCATGATCATCTTTTGGGCAATTCCTGGTATGTGCAATATCATGACTTGTTCGTTGCCCCTCGCTAACCATATACAGTCGCTTTCGTCGGTCTTATTTCCAACATCAACTACCTCGCCGAGCGCTTTACTTGGCTTGAATGGATTCTGGACATCCCCAAGGTCATTCTCGGTGTAATTACCGGTTTATTGCCCGCAGTCCTCCTTGCTGTCCTCATGTCCCTCGTCCCCATTATTTGCCGTCTCATGGCTAAATTGGCTGGTTATGTCACTTACAGCCAGATTGAGCTCAAGACGCAGAACTGGTACTTTGCATTCCAGGTTGTGCAGGTTTTCCTTGTTGCCACTTTGTCCGGTGCCGTCACATCCGTTATCAATGATGTGCTCGACAATCCTGGCAGCGTCCTGACTCTTCTCTCCACCAACCTACCAAAGGCTTCCAACTTTTACATCAGTTACTTTATCCTCTTGGGTCTTTCCTCGGCTGCTGGCACCCTGCTCAACATTGGTGGCTTCGTCGTTGTCGTTCTCCTTGGACGTGTACTTCCTGGAAAGACGCCCCGCAAGATCTTCCAGAACCTCACCAAGCTCTCCGCTCCATCATGGGGCTCTGAGTTCCCGAAGTGGATCAACTTGGGTGTTATTGCTATTACCTATTCCGGCATTGCACCTCTTATCCTCGGTTTCGCTACGGTTGGATTCACTCTTGTCTACATTGCGTTCAGGTACAACTTCCTCTATGTATACGAGACAGACCTTGACACCAAGGGCGATGCGTACCAAAAGGCTCTCCGCCAGCTTATGACTGGTGTCTACCTTTCGGAAATCTGCCTTATTGGTCTCTTCGCCATCGCCACGGGCGACAACGTTCAAGCTGCCGGTCCGCTCGCGATAATGTGCCTCTGCCTGCTACTCACCCTCATCTTCCAATTCACGCTCAAGACCGCCCTTAAGCACGAAGAAGCACGCCTCGCTTACGCCGACATCCCTCCGACCCACGGCGGTATGCGCAACGAAGAAGACGGCCTCCTCACCCAAAACGGCGAAAAGGCTCACACCACCGCGGCAACCCCCACCTACGCACCCAAGCCCACGCACATGCCTGCCTTCCTACGCAAGATTCTCAACCCAGAGAAGCACTCGCTGCACGCCCTCTCCGCCTCCCTCGACCAATTCTACCACACCCCTCAGGACCCGCTCCCCGTCGAAATCCAGAAGCGCGCCTTCTTCAACCCCTCCATTACCAGCCCCACGCCTGTCATCTGGATCGTCAAGGACGACATGGGCATCAGCACCCGCGAGATCCAAGACACGCAAAAGGCCGTGCCCGGGCTCATTATTACAGACGAGCAGGCCACATTTAATGAAAAGGGCAAGGTGTACTGGCATGGTGTGGACGATGGCCAGGCGCGCGAGGCACCCGTATTCGACGAGCGCATCATGTACTAGAAGTACAAACGACTTGGTAGTTGTATGTTCCATCACATGATGGATGGAGTTTTATACCCACGAAGTTTTATATTTTCGGGAAAAGGGACGGAATTTGTGTGTCTGTTCGTTTTTTTCTGAGTTAATATATCTTCGGTCCTTTTCTTTTTGTTGTGCTGGACGGATGGATGGAATCTTTTCACGAGGAAGAGAGAGTAGTAATGTGGCGAATTAACAGAACAAAACAAAACAAAGAGAATGAAATAGTGCATTAGGTAGAATCTGCTTATGCAAAGTATATAGTTAATGTTAAGACTGAACTTCGGACAATTTAATCACCACTTTCATGCATAAAAACTGGACTTTTTTTCATTTCAAAGGATCAATGAATATTAAACATAAACTCCATTCAATCATTAAAAAACAGGATATCAGACACTCTCTACACCAAGTTGAATGCAGCACTCTTGCCCTCGAAGGCCTCAATGCTACCACCAACCTTCTTGGCATCACCATTATACTTGATGCGATACGTCCCCGCCGCCGGTGCCGTGAGACCCGTGTCCCACGTAATAGTAACGTCACTCGTACCCGTCAGGCCGTTGACGCGCTTCCACTCGTAGACCAACTCCCAGTCTTCGTCGTTCTTGACCTGCGTCCACGTACCGTCGGCTGCCTGTTTTTCCACAGAAGCAAAGGTGCCTTCGAGACGGAGGTTGTTGCGCGGGTTGGCGCCAACAAAAGTGGCGCTGACCAGGGCGCCGCGAGCGTAGCTGGATACAACGTCTTTTGTAACTTGGCCAAACGAGCGGCCAATGCCTGCACCGTCGTAGACGACACCGGTGATGAGCGAGATGCTCTTGTCGCGGTGATCTGGAGGCGATGGGCCGGGTGGAGGAGCGCTCCTTGATCCATCGGAAATGTAGGGTAGGTATGTCAAGGTGGAGTTGATGAAAGCGTTTAGCGTATGTGGGCCGTAAAGCGTGGACGCACCCTCGTAGCGCTGGATGCTGTACTCTTCCTCGGTGGCAATGTAGTGCGTGTATGTGTTTCCTGGCCCACCGAGCACGACAATGGGCGACGAAGCAATGTTTGATGAGACAACAGCGTTGTGAACTGCTTCACGCCAGCGGCGACCAGACATGGTGGTTGCTTCACCGGGTGAAACAATAATGACAAATTGACCAACGCGAAGTAGCTGGATGTCAACAATGTTGGGCGACCAAAGGTAAGGCACGGTTGCCTGACCAACATTCAGTAAGACGGGCTTTGGGTATTGGCATTCCCTTTGCTCCTTGCTTGGTGGAGAAATGGCGCTGCCGACGATGTTCCAGAAGGGATTCGAGGGCGCGCCGGGATCGTTTTGGACAAAGTCAAACGCACCAGGTCCATCAGAAGTTCCAGCGGCGAATGAGTTACCCATTGCCGCAGGACATGTACGGACTGTGGATCCATTGCTCAATGTGAAGGTAAAGTTGGAGAAGTCGACAAAAGTGTGGAAAGAGCGAATGCTGCCGGAGATGGCTGTGAAGGAAGCCGACTCGTAAATGCCCTTGGCCCCTTGATATTGACGCTTGCCGATTTCGTAACAAGACTTGTGGCCACCATCGTTGAGGCCATAGTATGGGCCACGACCATGACAGTCCTGACTCTTGCCTCCGCAAGTACTGTCGTTTAGTCTGCACTGCGAGCCGGTTCCATCTTCGCAGTAAGCACCAAGAACGTTGGGAGTCGTGTCACCGACGTTGGCCTGTGAAAAGCCTGCGACAAAGCCCTGGGCGGCATTTGCGCTTGCCTCCATATCTTGCTCGAAGAGATATGCGGCGACACCCTTGTTGTCTCCAGCGATGAGCGTTTGGTTGCCAAGCAAGCTGGTACCATGGGTCGGGAACCAGTTCAAGACACCAATATTCTTTCCATCGCTGGCCCGCGTAAACTTGAGCAACGTCATGGTCTTGTCTACATTGTCCGTGTAACGGTCGCGCTCAGCCTGTGGGTTGGCAAGATAAGCAAAGAGACTGCGGTTGATGTTTGCATTGGCAATTTTGGCGCTGCCAGCACTGACGGTTCCCAGCGTCAGGCCTTCGTGTGCTCTCTTGATCGACAACAGCGTTCCGTCAACGATGGCTTGATAGCTCTGCTTGTCAAAGCCAAGGCTGGTGATTTGTGGGAGGAGATAGTTCAACCAAGCACCCGGGCCAGCATGGCTGTGGGTGCCTGTCACGGCTACATTGTTCTTTGTGTAAACGGAATATTCGGGGCCCATTCCCTGGAGACCCTCCAAGATGCCATTACGAATAGCAGTGTCTCCAGACTGGGTGTCTAGGACGAGGTACACAAATCTCTCGCTCGCCACGCTTGGGTTGCCAATAATGAAGGCGCGCGAGTAAATGCGCTGGCGCAGTCCAGTTCCTTTTTGCGATGAGTTGGCATAGCCCATCAAGTTGAGCTCGACAACAGGGCTGTCAAGCGGTTAGCGACGGGGAAACTCAAGTAGTACGAGTCATATCATACCCGGTAATGTCTCCTTTGCCAACACCGATGAGGTACGACGACACATCTTGGGCGGCGGGACCGTCATCCTGCTTCTCACTGAAGAACGAGTCCTGCTGAGCGCCAGTGTAGGTTTGGTCTAGGCGCGCATGCCAAAAGTCGACCGAAGGGAATCCCAAGTTGATGACGAGTTGGCCAATGATCAAAGAAGCAAGTAGGGCGGCGCCCAAAGCGACGGCAATGTGCGAGCGGGCCATTGTCGCAGCAAGATGGGCGTGCGGAAGTGTGCGGAAGGAGAGGAAGAGAGCGAGACGCTCAAGAGGAAGGTAACAGGTACTTGTAGGTTATCGAGGGCGCATGGAGAAGGAGCTGTGGTGCAGGTCCGTATGTACCACAGGACTACAGGGAGTATGCTTTTGGCCACAGAAGCCGCCCTGGCTGTGGTTGGAGGGTCTGGTATTGGTGCATGACGCTGCGGGGATGCTGGCGCTGTGGTTGGTGGGGATGATGTGCGAACAGGGCCCAGTAGCTTAATTTCATCGGGTCAAGCTTTCTTTGGTTTCGCGACCTTGGGCACAGCCAATACACCATCTTCCTGTGCCCCTGCACATCGCTTGCAACGATGCCACTCATTCAAGCCTCCTACGATGACCTCCCTTGTACGTAAATTGCCGTCGCCAGGAACAGCTGCAAGTCCGATGCGCTGCGCTGCGTGCTAGGGGGACTGCGCGCGTGATAACGGGATGCAAGCTGCATGCTAACTCGTTGCAGATGTAGATACGGAACCGGATGCAAACAGCATTGCTGCTGCCAAAGCTGCCATTGACGCCGACATCCGCAGCGCTGGTGTAGACACTTCAGAAATGCATCCGGCCCTTATACCAGCCGCCGCTGTGTACACACCAACTTTTTCCGACTTCATCTCGCGCGAGCATGCGCGCCTCGACGACGACCCCACCTCCAAGCTCTCTGGCATAGACCTGAAGCGCTACGAAGATCTCGACGCGCCTGAGAACACAAACCCGACGACTGATGAGGACCGTCCCGAGCTGCTCGAGCGATGGAGCAAGGCTCTGAAGCAGGCATACACCAGCTCCGAGTATGTCCAGGGCAGACTGACGCAGCTCAGCTTGCTGGAGAAGTTTGGCAAGAACGCGTGGTTGGTGGGCAACTCGCAGCTGGAGGATATCTTGAAGAGCATCGAGGCTGAGCTGGCCAGTCTGAAGAAGCAACAAGAGGAGACGGACATGGCTAGGAGGGTACAGCAGGACAGCGTGAGCGGTGAAATCAAGACCCTGGAAGATACATGGAAGAAGGGCCTAGGGAGACTGCTTGAGACCGAGGTTGCGGCAGAGGGACTCAAGCAGCAGATTATGGAAAAGAGGAAGGCTGGTGCTGTTTGAAATGCCCATGTTGTGCCATTTGACTTGGTAACTGCCGTGTTATGATACCCGATTGCAATGGAATATATTATCTTTGCCTTCTTGATGTTAGCGTTTGGAGATGCTTGACCATATTTCCAGGTATTAAATTTTCCGTGAGGAGATGCTAGCAGCAAGAGCGTTCAAAGACGGCCCGCTTGTCTGTAGCTCCTCGTATATGAAAAGCAGATCAAGTTCATGTGCAGAACAATCCCCGCAGGGGTTCGTCAATGTCAATAGCCTGGAATGGGCCTTGATCTGCACACTAGATTCTTCCCTTATCCATCTCCAAGCACGGAGTTTAACAGACACTGATAGCAATGCACTGGCACCATCCCATCCTTGGCACCTCGACTTCTCACTCTAACCCATTTCAACTCCGGAACAACCAAATCCCCGAGCCTCGGCTCAACCCCAGCTTTCCACCCATCCAACATCCGGCGCGACGATCGCTTTAGCCGTGGTGCCGCCATGAACCCGCATATCTCTCTCCCTCCCCTGTTCGTCCTTTACACCCATTAAACTACCTTTCCCCAAACTCGTCCTCTTTTCACCAATCAAAAGAAAAAGAAAAACATAGCGAAAATATGGAAAACAGCACCCTCTTCGACGTCAGCGTACGTAATCTCCCGACACTACATGCCTTTTCCATTTGTATACTACAGACATACTAAAAAGCATTCAACAGGGCAAAGTCGTCCTCGTAACTGGCGGCGCCAAAGGTATCGGCCGCATGATCAGCGAGGGCTTCGTCCGCAACGGCGCCACCGTCTTCGTCTCCTCGCGCGACGCCAAAGCATGCGAGGCGGCATGCAAAGAGATGAATGCTTTGGGAAAAGGAAAAGCGGATTTTATAGCAGCGGATTTGTACAAGGAAGATGCGGCGGCGTATATTGCTACCGAGTTGGGCAAGAGGACTACGAGTACGTTCTTATCTCTACTTCCATCTTCTCATACCATATATAGTTTCCACAAGATGTACTGTATGGGAGGGGTTGGGGGTTGGGGGAGAACGACAAAGTAGCTAACGCAACTTGGTGGCAAATCAGAACTCGACGTCCTGGTCAACAACAGCGGCAGCAACTGGGGCGAATCCTACGACAAATACCCGTCGGCAGCCTGGGACCGCGTCCTCAACCTCAACCTCAAGCGCGTCTTCCAACTCACACAGGCCGTCACGCCCCTCCTCGAAGCAGCAGCTACCCCTTCCTCCCCAGCCCGCATCATCAACATCGGCAGCGTAGACGGTCTGCGCGTCCCCGCGCTCGAGACGTTTGCGTATTCGGCTTCGAAAGCTGGCTTGCATCATATGAGTCGTGTACTCGCGAGCCATCTGGGCAAGAGGGGTATTACCAGTAATACGATTGCGTGTGGCCCGTTTCAGAGTAAGATGATGAAGGCGACGCTGGAGAAGTATCAGGATGTTATTACGGGGGGTATTCCGCTTGGTAGGATTGGTACGCCGGAGGATGTGGCGGGTACGTGCATTTGGTTGTCCAGTCGAGCGGGTTCGTATGTTAATGGTGCGACGATTGCCTTGGATGGTGGCAGTGTTGTTGGTGCTAAGTTGTAGAGTTTGGAATCTTGGCATGGTATGTAAAACAAAAGGCTACTTCGTTTTCAAGTGCATGTATACAAGAGAAGAATAGATACGTAATTACAACAGTCGAGTATCCATGGGTATTCAAATTATTAATAATTTTCTTTTCTTTTTGAATTAGAACATCTAGATATACGGAAATCTAGTATACTCTAGAAATCACATTCCGCCGCCTCCCTAATTGCCATGCCCACAACATATAAGAAGATGGAAAGCGAAAAAAATGCAGAAAAGATGAAGATTGTGCATCCGGACCTTCAAAAAAGCACGTGCCTTGAAAGCCCCCTAGTTTCCCTAGCCAGAAGAAAAGAGGAGAGAAAGAAGAAAGGCGAAAAGCGAAAACGAAACAAAAGAAAGATGAAGAAAGAAGAAGATAATAATGCTGTGGTATCATCCATATGCAAAAAAAAAACACAACCCAAATAAACGCCGCTCTCCCCTATATTTAAAGGGAATTCGAAGAGAAAAAAATGGTTGCTTGCATTAAACCTCATGGACAAGTCAAGCTCCTCGACCTCTTACTCTCGCCCAAAGCCAAAGCATCCGCCCTCAGATTCTTCGGCACCTTGGCTTTAGCCCAACACTGCATGGCCACCCTCCTCATAAGCTCGACCTCCTCATCGCGAAGCCTGAGCTGTCGTTTTGCAAGCTTGCTCTTGCGGAGCTTGACACCTTTTTCGGGGGCTGCTTGGCCAGAAGCGACAAAGGGGACGCTGGGGTGCGTCAGTCCACGCTTCGAGGCTGGGCGCTCGGTAGTAGGGGATGAGACGAGGGACTCGAGGTTTATGCATTCGGCGATGAGGGCCTGGATACCCGCAGAGAGCTGGGTGGCGCGGGAGAGGATGTAGCTCCAGATGTCTGAGCCTTCCCAGAAGGGGTCATTGATGACTGCATGCTGGAGGGCGGGAAGGATGTGGGGGAGCGGGGGCAGAGTCCGGTCTTGGGAGTCCTGCGAAGGGGGTTCTTCCTGGGTGGGTGTGGCGACGGTTGCGGTGCTGAGAAGACTTGCGGCAATGGTCAGGCGGATGTGGCTGTCGGTGCTCAATGTCTCGGTCACGACGCAGGCTGGGCAGCCGTGAGTGTGGCACCAGTCGGCCTCCTCGGTGATGAAGCATTGCAGGCCGATAAAGGCACTGCGGGATTCGCCCGAAAAGGCGAGTTCAAGGTCAGAGGCGCGCTGTGTGCACAGGGCGGCAGATGCTAGGGTCGAGGCACGCGAGAACAAGGTAACAATGGGCATGATAAGGGCGTGGAGGATATCGCGGTGGAGCAGCCATGTTTGCTTGGCTTGGGGTGAGCATGTCGAATGTGAGGCACAGAAACTATTGGATCCATTAGCCGGTGTACTTTGCAGATGGATGCTATTGTTAGGTAGGCAGATAGGTAGGTGGATGATGGTTGGGTTGGATTGGGTAGCATGCTAACTGCAGTGGTACTGGAGCAGCAGGCGTGCGATAGGCCCGGTGCGATAAGCTCCCGGACGCGGACAAGAGAACAACAGAACAGAACAGGACAGCACAGCACATACTCGGCCTGGCCCGCCAAACACCTCCTCAGCGCACAAAACGCCTTTGACGAGTTGAGGGCATCGACATCCTCCTGGGAAATGGCAAACGGACTCTCCGTGTATATCGCGTGACAGTTATTCATTGCGGTGGTAGTGGTGGGGGTTGTAGTCGTAGTAGTAATAGTAGTAGTGTCTCCTTGGGCTCGCTTTGCATCGGTATCCGAGTGACGAGTGACGTGGGTGCAGGCTCCGGGGCTATTATAACCTGTCTCTCCCTGTCTCTTTCTCTGGTCGGTATCTCCCTCTCCGCACAAGAACAAGGGGGTGGGGTGGCAGGGCGGATATGCCGGAAAAGTAAGGCGAGAAGGTTGTAGAAAGCAAAGGGGAAAGCAAAGGTCAAGAGGAGAGGCGGGATGGAAGATTCGAGGACGGGTTTTTTTGGGCAACTTGGAACAAGGGACGCCGTTCCCTATTATTTCACCCAAATGACGCGAACGAGCCTCCTCAAGCCGACATGCTAGGGGCGCTTGCGAGTGGGGACATGTGGTCGATCTAGACTTGCATCCGCACACGCCCCCTTTCCCCATTCCGCTTGCACACTTGCATACCACGCACCGCCCGTCTGCATCTCGCGACACTCTATTCAGCCACGCCCTGCCCTAGCCAGCCCGCCCTCGTGCTGTTGCAGAGGCGAGGGGACTCGACCGGGAGCCTGTGTTGCACACAGACTTTGTTGTTCACTATTAATATTGTTATTTTTGTCCGCCGACAAGGGCCCGCCAGCCAAAGCCTCGCTCAGGGGCGGGGGGGCCAATTCAGCTAGTCGATTCGCTTGCTGCACTCAATCCTCGTGGCTCATTATCAGAAGTGGGTTTCCTGTTATCGGGGGCGGAGGGGAGGGGAGGGGTTGGGTTAGACACGCACGCCAACGACGTTGGCATCAGGGTGGAGAATGGGGAAAGCAAGATATGGGTCGACATGGCATCTGTCGTCGTGCAGCTCTTCACCGCCCATGAACCCACCACCGAGGTTGACAGCAATCAGCCCATGCGGAACCGCCCACTCTCTCTCCAATCGATATGCCACACGGAATTCATGCCCGGGTAATTGGTGCCTTGTCTCTCCACTGAGACAAGCAAAAACAAAACAAAAACACAGGGACTAACCGTGCTCACACGTCTCCCGTTGGCTTCGTCATAAAACATGTTTCGATAGACACAGTTGTCACTAGTCTCGTCAATGTCCTGCACCGTCGACTCGTGCCTAGTACGTGTGTGCCAGGTGAGCAACCAAAACCGCCAACACTATCGAAAAAAAAGGCCGCAGCTGCGTCAGAATGCCAACGTCAGCCAAGCACCCATTTCGACTATCGTCATCTCACTCTCTCTTCATTCCAACGGCCCGTTGGCGGAGAAGTCACTGGAAATTGCAACACCGGCGGAGATTTTTGGTTCCAGGTGTCGCGCCATGGGATCGGCGGGGCAGGACGCGTACGCCTACCAATGGCGAATACATCCACGCCCACACCTGGTGTACATGTACAAAACACTCACAACCTTCTTCGAGTCAGTGCACTCGAGTGCACATGAACATCACCCAAAGTCTGCGTTGCAAGCGCCCAGTCGACTTGCTCTGGGACCGAAAACTGCCTTCGGAGCTGCTTGCTCACACGACATTGGCTGATTCACGCACTGGTGGGGACTGGTGACGATGGCGTCTTACGCTACGGGCAGACGGGCACTCCCGTGATCGGCACTGCAGCTGGAATTTCTCCTCCTAATACCCTAAGCCTTCAGGCCTGCTCTCCCTTTCGTGCTTCTTTGCATCTCTGGCCCGCAGTCAAAGTGGCGCTATGCACTTTGCAGTCAGCTCACACTATCTACCCTACGCCATCGTCCCATCATCCCCTTGCAACACCCATGCACAAACTGCCAGCCATCGCGTCTCCTACACGTGCGTGCCGCTTAGTGACACGCCGCTAGATCGGCTGCTAGTAGCTGGGAACCACTGAAACGTGTCAGTGCGCCATCAGTTGAATGCCTGTGGCGCAATACGAAGCGCCGTCCGCCTGAAGACAATGCCATATATAGCACCGTGACAAGTCTTGCGCGTCGAAGCACGCCGTTTCAAGCGGAGGCTACCTCTGCGGTTCGGCGTGGGAGCACTCAAACAGCCGCTAATACAGCTTTCGAGATTCCAAAGCGCCACCCTTCGCTATCGCTTTGGACTCCTTAGGACGCAACTCCGATGAGGCGTCAGAGACTGTCTCTCAAGCTAACCGGTCGACCAGACCATGAAAAGTAGTCACGACAATCATGTCCTCCTTCACCTGAACCAGAAAACAGAGTATGAACCATCGGTGCTCAGTACCCGCCTCCCAATTCCTTCATCGTTCTGCGTCCTTCCGAAAGGATCGGTGAAGAGTGTAGTAAGTTTCTCGGAAATCGGCCCCATCTCCTGCTTCGATACTGGTACCGGGGGGCTCAACAAGCTCGGATCAGGCTGCAGAATGGCAAAGATGCTGCTCTTCGACCTCCCAACCATCCGGCGAAGGACATCTTGCAGATTGTCGTACAATGGCCACAGTGTTTCCAGGTACCGTGCTGCCACCGGCTCACACGGTTTACACGGTTCCAGCATGTCCATGCATGATTTAGCGTACGCGAGATCTGCCTCGACCCCATCTGTCTGGCCATCCATGAGTTTAGTGGTTGCACTGAAAAGCAGGCAAATGGCAGCTGAAAAGGACCAATATATACTACACTTGTCAGCCTGTTTCACTTTCCTTCACTTTCCTCAACAACTTACATTATCCAGCAGCGCTTAGTCAACGTGCCATCAAAGGAAATGAGTCCTAGTATGCGCGCAATGTTTTGAGCGGCTGTTGAACACTCTCGTCTATACATCTTGATGTCATCCGCTGACATGTTCAATGGAGTTGCTGCCTCATCGCTGAGCTGGGCTCCAGCCGCAGCAACAAGCAACTGACGGTATAGCAAAACTAGGGTGCCAAGATACATAATCTACCAAAACAGGTCAGCGCTGACAAACAATCCGAGGAATACGGCTTCGTACATGTACCATGAAAATGGCTCGCCTCTGGTATTTGTTCAGTTCTTGAGCTTCGCTGGACAAAAGGGTAGGAATCTGCAAATTGTAGGGTACATCCTGGCGCCACTGCTCGAGCTTACGAGTAAGCAGAGTAATGTTAGCCTCGGTGGCCAAGTTGGGTGATGCAAGCGTCTTTGCAACTTCAGCCGCAATCAAATTGATCTTGCTGGTTTGTGTGTGAATCATATCATTTATCGAAAGGTGATCTGGCCAGTCCACAACACACGCAATCTAATCATGTTAGCGCTATATGGAAATCTATCAGTCTCACCATGCCATACCTGGACATCGTTGGCCGTCACCTCTGAAGGATAGCCAAGCGTGTACGAAAGCCACGAGTCCATGAAAATGAGACTTCGGAAAATTTTCCTCCAGCCCACATCGGCTGTCTGAGGCCGGCTCTGCGGTGCTGCACATTTCCAGCGGGCAATCTGCAATCCTGCGGCTGTGGCTTGTCAGCTTGTGTATTGGGTAGCTTAGTAGAGAGTTCAATTACCAATAAGGTATTTTGCGCTCATGTGCTTCTCGAGGAGCGAGAAGAAAGACAATGAGAGCAACAAACGCATTGTTCGAAAGTGATCTTGCCGGGCTGTGCGTTCATTGAAATGAAGAGTCCCGGAGGCGTAGAGTAGGCGCAACATGTCATTAGAGAAAGCATCAATATCATAATGCGCACCCATGGCAGCTACAGTAAAACATTCAGCAAGTGTCATATCGTCAACCTTTGTCTGTGGCCGGTAGATGCGGTCGAGAATCTCATCGGCCTGTTCAAATGTCCACATGAAAAGGAGCGAGCCGGTGCCTTGAATGAAGGCATACATAGACCGGCGCACTCGGTCTTCAGGCGGAAGACGATTCTCATTGAAATGCTGGGCGCCTCCATTGATGATCTCGCTTCTGAGAGTTACCAGCTCACTAAAAGCTAGGGTCAGTGCGTTGTGACAGGCTTCTGCGCCAGGCCCCATGGGCACAGCAGGCATCAGAGACACGGGGCTGTCTATGGAGCTGGGGCTGGCCTGTGAATATGGACGAGTGTTGTTGGATGTATCTGTTGTCGAGCGGCTATTTCCTGGTCGTTGTCTGCCAGAAGAGGCGGTCGACTGTTGGGCTTTGAATTCATTGAGGTACATTTGGTGCTTTTGCCAGCTGTCGGTCTTCTTGTACTCGTCCATTTGGGCCTCAAACTCTTGCATGGACCGCGCAGCATTACTTTCCCATACACGCTTCTTCTCTGCTGGGAGCTCTTGCCATCTGCGACCCACCTCGCGTGCAATGTCGACAAAGGACAGCTGGCTGACTTCTGGGTCTGTGCGAAGCTGGTCAGCAAAGTTGACATCTACGATTGTTAGTAAGAGAGCAATATCAAGTGGGCAACGCGCAAGCGTCTGGCTGTCGTACAGGCTGTCTTTGGCTTCTTGGGCGCATTGGGATCTGGCCGGGGATGGCGCCGGTACCGCCGCTTCTCGCGTGGTGGCGGGGTAGTCGTCTGTCTGGTGAAGCTCTCGAGGGCCGACGCAGAGAGAGATACTGGCTCTGGCGAATTGGACTCTGGGTCGAGTGACAGTGACTGAGGAATGCCGCGGTAGGTTGCAATCTCGCGCTGGAGCAGTCTGCGGTGGCCGAGTTTGAAGTTGAGGGCCGTCATGTCGTCCTCGGTAATGTCGAGGACAGCGCCCCAGGTATGGAAGCCATTGTCGGCGAGGACTTGAAGATATTCGGTTAACCCCAGCCGGCTCAGAACATCGGGCAGGCCTGGTGAAGTGGGACTTGAAGGGGAAGGGATCGCCATGAAGGGTGACGTCTGCAGAGGGAAAGGATGGGAAATGGGGCAAATGGCATATTTGAGCGTCACGCAGACGACATGGAAAGTGCCGCAGCAAAGACCATGCGGTGCAGACGGACAGAAGCTGAGAGAGACGGTATGGGATAGCGTGCAGCCGTGGCCTGTGATTCCAGACCCGGTAGATGAAAAGAAGGGTGTTCGAGGCCCTCACGGTCTCGACCCACCCTTTTGTCGGGCGCTAGTGGCTGCTGCCAGCCCGGTCTGTCTGAGTGCGTGCAGCCGACGCAGCGCTGCCTGCAGTCAGATTGCTTGAATCTGTCCCGGCCGCCTGCGTTTACAAGAAGAAAGAGGGGGATCAGTCGTCACCGTGGCCTGAAACGCTACAGACATGCGTACGTCGACTGACTGGCCACATGAGTACGTACCGCTGCCTAGGATACTACTACTACTACTACTGCCACTACCACTATACCATTTGGGAGCAGCACCGCGTCGCCCTCGAATGCCGCACACTGCCGTGTCGGCGGCACTCGAGCCGGGCCCATTCCCGTCCAAAGCACTGTACACGACACAACGGACTGCCTCTGAAAAGAAGCTTTCGGCGCCAGCGGCGATGAGGCGATGAACGATAGGCGATGGGTGGATGGGGCGATGGGCTTGGAGAGCCAGACGCCGAGTAATACAATACTTGGATGATGAACAGCAGCGGGGACCATTCCAACAGGCACGGAACGTGTTCCCTCCTCCCTGTTGCAGCCAAGGACCATTCACAGGCAGGGCACTACTGGCTGTCATCTGCAGCACAGTGCCCGCGTGCTATTGCAGGTAGCCGGGGAATGCTGATCGGAAAGTCGTCTCAGATCGCGGTGGTGCAGCAGAGGTCTAGACTACGCTCCCATCTTCATGTCAGCGCCCCCAGCACCGCCCTCGCCCGCCTCCTGTCTGCTGGCTTCCACGCCCTCCCGGCTCCCGTATGGACAGACCTCTCTAGGCCCATTCGGGGCCACATGGCATTTCCCCTTCTCGCAAATCGGCTGACTTTCTCCACACGCTCCCTGCACTGGCATAACGCTATCGTAGATCTGCCCAAGCTCCAGTTGCTCAGCCTCACCATCTGTCAAATCATTCGACTTTTGGTGCATTCCTCCCGCTAACGCCCTGTGCCAGCCACCCAGTCTCGACCGCTCCTGCTGCTGCTAATGCTGATGCTGATGTTGTGCCCGCTATCGTTGTCCCTGTCCCCCGACACACACATGCCGAACAAAACAACTACAAGTATGGTCATGTGAAGGAAAAACCATGTTTCACGGTGTTATTCCTGGCTTCGGGCACTAGCCCTTCTCTCTTTCTGCCAAGCATTAGTACGAGCCCACTAGGCCCCTTTCGGACTGCGCTCTTCGCTGCAACTGCTTGACGATTGCGCAACACTGCACGCCACAACCACGTCTACTACTCTAGATTCAGACAATGCCATTCCTGTCTACATACTACAATGCCGATCTCACAAGTACTTTTGCATCAGCTCCTTGACCCGCCCCAGATCTAGCGCCTCAATCTTGTTGCCGTTCCCGTCCATGGTCTCCGCCATACATACCGCATTGTAGATGGCCTCTTCAACGACATCTGCGCTTGCTTCAAAGAGCGCATTAATGGTCTGGTCATCCGTCATGGCCACCTGTACTTCCCGCGCCTTGTAGGGATCTACGCTTGCCTGGCCCGCTGTCACAGTCTGCACATTCAGCTCATTCGCTGTCGAAAACGCCATGAAGATGTCGCCAGACGGATTCGTGCCGTACCCGCCTACCCGAGCTAGCCCAACCGTTGCGCGCTTGGCTAGCCGTTGAAGTTGCGTTGGGTGGAGCGGTGCGTCTGTCGCAATGATAACAATGATGGACCCGTCCTTCTTATCCTTTGCCTTTTCGACCTTGAACAGCAGCTTGGACTGAGCAATCAACTCTGGATCCTCGGGATTTTCCTCCATCCTCCTCTTCTGCTCTTCGTAGATGAGCCTTCCAATTGGCGCCCCGCTGATTTTGAAATCCCACATCTTACCGTAGTTGGCTTGGACCAGCGCGGCCACGGTATAACTACGTCCTCCTTCGGCTGGAACAATACGAGAGCTCGATCCAGTACCGCCTTTGAAGTAGTGACATATCATGCCCGTTCCACCACCTGTATTTCCTTCCGGTACCGGTTCACTGCTCGCTTTGTCCATACCATCCACGATATGCTTTGGCGTCACGGCAAACTTGGCAACATCGTGCAAGAAGCCATCAAACGTTTCCGCCACGACTGGTAACAAGAACCAGTCCACCTTGCCTTCGGCGTCACAGTTTTCCCGGATAGCATACTCGTAGATTCCGTTGTATGCTGAACCAACTCCAAAACTGCCAGTAATGATGATTGGTGAGAACAACAGACCCATCTCCTCGATTAGGTGCGACCCAGTCATCTCCCCAGACCCATTGAAGCGGAAAATGCCTGCAAAGCAAGCTTTGTGAAACCAGTCTTTGCGTGGCAGGATAGTTGTTACGCCTGTGTTTATCGAATTTGCCGCTGCGTTGGGGTATGTGGGTGAGGAGTGGATAGACTCAGTGTGGACCAATACGCCAGGAATGTCTGTGAGACTATTTTTTGGACCGGGCTGGTAACGGCCCAGGTGTAGGCCTGGAAGCAGCTCGCGGATGCGCTGGCGTGGATGTGAGGAGGTAGATGGGGAAGTCATGATGATTTGTTGTGTGATTTTGAGAGATGCGTTTACAAGTGGTATAGGATATGTGTAGCGCTCAAAACAAAGACTCCACGGCTTGAGTTTGCCTTGAGGCCTCACGATATTTATACCATGAACTTCGGTCCAAAGTTACTAAAGAGAAAATTGATGACAGGTTTCTGCTTCTGTCTTTTCCAGGCATCAGTCTCATGTCCCGCTTTGCTATGTGGTGGACGGCTCGCCGTTGGGACACTATAATCCCTTGGGGGAGACGCATTAGGCAAGTGCACAGTATTCTTATCCGCCATAGTATTAGGCCTGCCGTCAGGTTATACCAATTATATCAATGATTGCCGCGAAGCAGTGCAACAACAATGTGAACTACATCCTACAGGCACCTTCTGGCAATGCTCATAGTGAGTCATCTTGGCGAGACCCCGCCCTCGTACATGACTAGCGTACATCCTCCTTCCCCTGCGCGTAATCACCGCTTCTTCACTTCTTTCGCCTATCGCACCACATCGGCTGACGAGTAAAAACATACCATAAAATTTATAGCTAAGCTTTTACTTTTCTCCGATCACCCACTGTATCGGCGGTATCTGAAATGTGCAATTTTGTCAATGCCGCGAAACTCCCGATGTGTTCACGACTCAGTTGACAGATCTGTTATCGGAATACCGGTTCCTGCATAGCGTACTTCCAACATTGCAAGCTTGACCCTCTCAAGTTCAGACTCCCATGTTGTGCCGCTTCCGACTTGTCTGACGTAGTCGGCCCGCTGTTCAAGTCAATACATAGTCTCTCCCCACTCTTGCTGGAAGATAAAGAAAAGTTTGTAGCCGGACTGCTGGCGATACCAACTTCCTCCCCATCGCCATTTGCACCAGGATGTTGTCGCATCTTCTCGTGGTTGGGCTTTTGAGCCTGGCGAAAACATCTTCAGCGAGCTATGGATTCTACGTCGGCAAGGCACTCACACAGGATGGTAGCGTTATGCTGGGTGGAACGGGTGAGGAAGTGTCGTCGCATTGGCTTCAGATCTTCCCTGCCAAGGACCACAAGGCGAACGACACCATTGTGGTCGGCGTTACGGAAGACGCAGTGATGCCGGGAAAGTTGATGAACATTTCGCAAGCACCGCATACCTTCCGCTATCTTTCCATGGAATACTCCGACTTTGAAGGGTTTCCGGCGCCTCTCACAAATGGTGGTGTTAACGAAAAGGGCGTTGCTGTACGCGATATATGGGCTCAGAACCGGGATGATCTCATTGCCATGACACCAAACCCGCAGACGGGATTGCAATACTCTGACCTGGCCCGTATTGTGCTGGAGAGAGCGAGTACTGCAAGAGAAGGCGTTGAACTTATTGGACAAATGATCGCCGACTATGGCTATGCCGACTATGGCGGTAACTCGCATCTCATCGCTGATGCAAACGAAGGCTGGGTGGTTTGGGAGATGTCAGGCGGCCAGAAACTCTGGGCGGCAGAGCGTCTTGGTGAAAACGATGTGCGCGTTCTTTACCCCGGCTATATTGAAGACTTTCCTGTGGACTTTGAAAACAACCCAGACTACATGGGTAGCCCCAACATTGTGAGTTTTGCGGTTGAGCAGGGCTGGTGGAACCCAAACAGCGCCAAGCCTTTTAACATATTCAACGCATACGCACCCCAAGAAGAGGGATACACTGCACGAGACGGCGGAGCGAAGTACATGTCACAAGCTGCGCTTGAAGATGCGACCCGCGCAATGGCTCCTGTAACGGAGAAAGACCTCATTGAGCGCGTTCGCGACTACAGAATCTCAGACGATGAAGCCGGTTACGGCCAAGTCGTGTCCCTACGTCCAAATATGGACCCTGATCTGATCCGTGTTTGGGTTGCGCCTACCGGTTCAGTAACAGCAGCTTTCAACCCATGGTGGCTGGGTGTCAAAAGCATTCCGCCAGAGTATGGACTACATCGCTACCTGTACAAGGATGCCGCAGCAACATTTCTGGATACTGACTACCAGTATCAAGAAGCCACCCAATTTGCTGGACGCATCTTCAAAAAAGTACTCTACTACACGTGCTCAGATCCCGAAAGTTATCTGCCCGTTGTGCAAAACATGCTGCACGGATTTGAGAATGCATCTTTTGCTGACATGGAATGGGTCGAAAGAGCTGCCCATACAATGGTGGAGGCCGGGCAACGGGATCACGCACTGGATCTTTTGACATTCTACTCGCATGCAAGAGCAGAGAAGGCACTGGCGCTTGGAAGGACCATGGCCGATGCCCTTGATGCATATGTGAAGCTTACGGGTCAGTTCCGCATGCCGAGTGGCGATCGAATCAATGATCCTGGGCTTGGGGCTGAGACAGTAAACTGTTTGGTAGGATGGGATCCGGTGAGTTAGACATGAGTGTAGAGATGTTTGGTACATACTGATGTTATTGTGCTAGGATCAACCAGCTGACAAGCAGAAACCTTTGAAGAAATTTCGACGATCAAAATGACTTGGACAAATGGTCCGGAGCTACCGGGACAAACAATACCCTCTCGGTACTTGAGATGCTGGAGACAATGATCGAATACAATGATACTTGAGCAGAAGGAGCAAATATATAGAGAATGTGTACTGCAGGTTCGAGCCTGTGATGTGATTGTAGACCAAGAATGACTACGGTAGCCACCCAATACTGCCATTGACGGGCCGACAGGACTCTAAGCCGAACCCATGTGTATCGATTATCCACAAGTAAACCAAGTGGACACCGCATCCATGCGACTGCCATTGTTGGCACCTGCGCAGCATGCATAGCGATTACGCGAGCCTCGATTTACCCGGTCATCACGCCACGACTTTGGCGGTAGGCGTTTTAATCGTCACCAATCTGTTAGTCCTTTCAGGCAACGTGGTTTCAGAAGGAGCGTTATCAAGCATTTGTACCATTGACTTGCATGTTGCGTCTCTATCATGCAGAAGGTAGCAGCTAAGTGCTACGAACGAGGAAAGGCTTGTACACGTCTGTCGACCAAAAAACGAGCGCATGGTAAGACTATCACGATACCAGGCATCTGTGGTAATAGGCCGACAAGATAACGGAAGCTCCGACTCTCCAGCCAAGAACGCTTGACAGCAGTATCTAACCATTGGTTGATGCTTAACACTGGACTAGCTCGAGAGCCAACCTTTGGTGCCAGCAGCAAGCCACCATTTTGGACCCTTACCCATTACCTACAGGCTGCAGGAACCACTCGTGTATGTGGATGCAAGGATTACATACTGGTTAGCCTGAACATTCTATTCGCTGGTTGGGCTACTTAGATCGGTTTACCGTCTTTCGCTTGGACGCCGCACGGGACTACTGCAAGGCCGGGACACGGGCTAGAAGGCAGAAAAAAAATCGAACGTTGGATCCTTCCAAAGCACAAACTATCGAGCGGCTGAGGGTTACGCAAGTATCAGGCAGAGGATTCACTCGGTGTCTGTGACATGAGTGTTTTTCCTTTTCTGTTAGGTGATGGACCTTGTGCGTTTAGAGGATTTGGAGGAAGAGCGTCTGACTCCACAGCGCGTTGATACATGGCCTAGAAGAGGCATTTTCTCTTCCCTTCTTTCAAAGACATGTCAGAATGGCTATGACGGTGTTGTTATCGAGGCCCCCAGTACACGCTCTGGGAAACTCTTCGCCCATCTGACGCATCTTATTGATGCTGAAGTAATACGGCAACTGTATTTTGCAGCTAAAAAAAACCGATACCACAGTATGCTCTGGGTTTACCCCTCGCGAGCGAGCCATCTATCCTACTGACCGCAACTTTTGATAAGTAAAAGACACGGGAGAGGGAGAAAGGACTTGTGATGTCAGCACGGTGTAAAGTTATCGGCCCCATACAGTAAGATTCTTATTCGGCCTAGCAACCGGCTTTTTCGGAGCAAAGCATGTCGCTTCCTTCCATACAAAAAAACAGAATTCATGTTTCCGGGTTCCTTCGGTATCCCGGGCGAGTGTGATAACGACGATCGGTTATTGGATCGTGATGTGGCGGGTCGAGATACCCGTCCCAAAGCTTATTTTACCACGGCGTGTAAGCGGGATGACACGGGGTGTCCTAGTTGAACCAACAGCAAAAACGTGCCAGTTACACTTTGAGATCCGGCAGATACGTGAGCGCAGCTTTTCTTTCTTTTTTATATTTAGAAACACAGTGAGTGAGAGGGGAACGAATGTGTTGTACACTTTTCCTTCTAATTGTACTATGCTGAAAAAAAAGTTCATGCAGGAATCCTTCTTTTTCGTTGGTTGTCAAAGACATACATGTCTCGCTTTACCTAGTAGTCAGCCGCATCGCACTATTGAACTCTAGCGTCATCATCTTCCCATTTCGATAGAGAGAGAGAGCGTGCGAGAGAGACGGAGAGCCGACGACATCCGATCAGGGATGTAGGCCGGTTTGTACGCATGTACCGTGCCGTTAGGGTAAGCTATTCTTGCGTCCACCCGCGAGCTTTTTCCACCACTACGCTGGAGAGGATTACAGGTGCATGGAAGGATCACTCGGATGGGAGCGACTGTGTACCATAGACGGGAAGGCCAAGTGCTGATGCGTACGTGCGTACGTGCGTGCGTGCATGTGCCGAGCATTGAGGCGAATATCTGTACGTGTGTACGTACTTGGATGAGAAAGGGAAAAGGGAAGGGAAAGGCTGGTCAGAAGAGTTAGCTGAGAAAAAAAAATGTATAAAGTATAGAGAAGTATGCATGCTCTTTCTTTCTTCCTTGAACAATAACCAACCCAATCTACCACTTCATCCCCAAATCCCCCTCCAGGAAACTTGATAACCAAGAATCTTTGGAAGAAAAAACAACAAACAAAGATATACTACTTTTAATTCAATCTTAACCACTACATCCTTTTCCACCTCACCAAAAAACAAAAACAAAATGCACGCCTTCACCCTCGTAGTCGCTACCCTGAGCCTCGCCTCTGCATCCCCCATCTCGCACCTCTTCTTCGCCCATTCCTCCGCCCCCCGCGACATCGTCGCCTCCGTAGACCGCTACGCCGGCGCCAGCTGCACGGGCAAAATCTGCAACATAGCCGGATCTGGGGATCTGGTATCTGGCTGCAACGCCATTACCGATGATTGCGTTGCGAGTCTCAAGTTGAACTATGCTAACAATGGGTGTTCTGGTACGTATTCTCCCTCTCCCTCTCCTTTTCCCTTTTTCCCTTCTCTTCATTTTTTTTTCTTTTGTTGTTATTTCTGGGAGGGAGTTGGGGTGGAGTGTGAAAGAGAGATAAGGAATTGCTAATGTTTTTTATGTGTGTAGTCAAGGTTTTTGCGGATGACAAGTGTAAGCACGAGGCTGGGGCCGTGGGGTTGCAGACGGCGGGCGTGTGCAGTGCGCTTGCTGATAGTACGCCGTTTAAGAGTATTTATGTTACGTGCTAGGTGGGCTGAGAGAGAGAGAGAGAGAGAGAAAAGGGATGATATGACGAAGAGATGCATGAGGATATGAGAAAAAAAAGGTGACACAGTGATGATTATGAAGATATAGAATAATGTCTAGCCACGCTCATTAATTTGTAAACATTTGATATGAAGAAAGGGAGTTTAAAATTTCATCTTCTCGCTCTTCTTTTCGTTCCCATGTATTGTGACTGCCTTTGCAGCTGATATGTCTACATACTTTACACAACATCGGCGAAAGAAACAAGAAAACACGCTCTTTTGAATGGGTATCATAACCAACCTATTGGTATTATAACTCAACTAGCCATCTATTTTGCCGGACTAGCAACTCTATCCACCGGACTCGCCGTCCGGGCTGTGCCTACACCAGAAGCCAGCAATTCTAATCTTGAGGCTTGGACACGGTGTTTCTTCATAACATCGACCCATTCCTCGTCTGCCTCGCTCTCTTTTACACTCTCGTCTAGCTCTGCGCGTAAATCTTCTTCGAGTAGCGCAATCATTACACTAAAGTCTGCACCGAGTCTACCCAGCGAGCCAGCGCAGTATAGGACCTGTGTGAGAAGCGAGTCTCTTGCTGAGCGATCTTGTACATTGGGCAGATAGTCGCGCAGTGTGTCGAAGAGCATTTCTACGAGGTGCAAAGGAAAAGTAGCGAGTGCAGAAGGGATGGGCTGAAGAGGATCAGACGAGTCGACGGGCTTGACAGCCGGGGCTGCAGCGTCTTCTGATCCTGGTGCAGGGAGAGCTGAAGGAAAGATGCTTTTGTACATGGATATTATGGCGAAGCTTTGTTCGCGGAACACTTCGAGGTACTTTTTCAAGTACTTTTCCGTTTGTTGGCCAGCGGCCCAACCATTGTCGGCGACTTTTGTGGTCTTACTCGTGCGCTTCGAAGTTTCCTGATCTGCGAGGTCGCGGAGAGGGGATAGGGCTTCGAGCATGGACTCGAGGCAGACTAGCCTGCACACAAGGAAGAGCGCGCCCAAAGTGCCTTCACCACTACCAATGGCGGCCTGTTTGGTGGACCATGATTCATCCAGCTCGGGCGCAACACGGCGGAGCCAGCCAATGGTTCGCATTGCACCTGCCAACTTGATTCCCTGGGCCTGGAGAGCTGTGATAAGGTTGGTGGTCATGGTCTTCATCTCCTGCTCGGCTTGAGCTGTGAGCGAGGAGACCAGAGGCGAGTTGGGGTAGAGAGTATGCAGGCGCTTGACGTGGGCATGAAGATCAAGGGCTGAGGCATAATTTGCATTTGCGGTGGCCGTGGATGAGGTCGCTTGTGCGGCGGCCGTCGACGAGGCTATGGCAGACGAGAGGAGGGTCGGGAGGTCGAGGACATCGGAGACGCGGTCAATGTTGCGCGAAAGCAGCATGGCTTTTCTCCGCCTGTCTAGAATGGCATTGTCGGCACCTCTACTGTATTTGTCGGAGAAGCGTTGTGCTGCTGTTTCGAGCGCGGGCAGCTCGGCGTGGACGGTTGCTGCATCGTGTCCAATGTGCGGGAGAGTGGTGCGCAGATGCAGCAGGTGGTCGGCCGAGGCGATGATTGGCTTGTGAGACTTTTTGGAGAGGGCCTGAATGGAGCGCAGTATTGATTGCGAGCTTTGGGCTAGCGATTGTTGCTCCGATGAGGTGAGGGCTGGTAGCGGGAGGGTGGTTAGGCGGGAGAGGTAGGCATTTGTGGCAGCGTCGTTGGGGACAGGGTGGGCATCGAGGTAGGGAACGAGGAGGTCGTAGAGGGCGTCAGCCATGGTGTATATGGGTGGTCATGTGTGTGTATGTGTGTGGGAGTGTAGTGTAGTATGTACGTATGTACATGTACGGTATAGAGTAGATGTGGACCCCTGCAGGCATCGACGCTTCACATGCGAGAAAGGCCCCGCCCAAGAAAGTATCCCAGCACCTTCATTCATCTCGCCCTGTCCAGCGCCGCCAGCTTCTTCGCACCCCGGGGCAGCGCACTCCCAGCCGCACACACCGGCCCCCGCCCATCGACTCCCCAAATGCAAAGCGCCCAGCATGTCGCCT